TTTCCTTTGAAAGAGGTTTCAAAATAAACTATGTCTATATTTATTAATCCCTTGACTTGGACCGGTTTTAAAGACACTTTCTTATCGTTAAAAATTGTCGCTTTTGCCGATTGGTTGTTACCGATGGAATGATTTTCATACTCATAAAATGATGGGAGAACTTACAGCGCTCATCCTGTCCCCGTAGATGGGGGTGACTTGGTCCCGCAGTAGCTTGCCCCGGTTGTCAAAATGACCACGCGCCGCCACTGCCAGTTTGTCTATGCCAGTGGTTCCCAACCGCCGTGCCGCGGCACATTAGTGCCGCGAAAAGATTTCTTTTATGAATATATTTCGAGTGATTTAAATTTCCAATCCCTGAATTCCGCGAGAATTACCCCACGGCTCTTGGTAACAAACCGGAACGACAAATTTGTGGAGTCTTATTTGGGTATTCTTTCAACTCCAAATTTTGCATAAAGATCACAAACACCGTTTCGTAAAATTGAAAATGTCAAACAAAGTAATAAATTATTGTGCGAAATTACTTCCATATTTTACCAAGAAATTATTATTGGATCAGTAGAATTGCCATTATTTAATCACTATTTAAACTCCAAATAACAGTCAGGATTCATACAATGACTTCGCTGGGTTTTCATTCACTATTTTATACGAAAATAAAACAGGCATAATATAAAAGTAAAATCAAAAGTAGGTCAACTATCGTCCTCATAGATATTCGCTTTTAATTTTATATTGTCAGCTTGGTAATCTACAGACGCTACGGAGAAAGATCAAAGCCGACGCAAGAGATAAAAATCGGAATAAAATCATGAATTCACGATATGAACGCATGGTTCTTCCAGGAACATAAAGCCAAACTTCGACGTTCGCCGTTCTGTAATATATAATTGGTCCTTGTACAAAAGAGACGGGCAGAAATAGCTCACCAACATTAGAATGTCTATAGCGATTTGAATTTGGATGCTTGATGTATATAATATACCATAAATACCCGATATTCCACAATTCTTTGAAAATATTCGAATTGTTCGTTTCGATAAAAATATTCTATTTTGCACTCCCATGCGATCTGTAATAACGCAAGTAATCCGGCGAAACGCGTAGTAGTCCAAACACAGATGCAATGAAACCTTCAATAAATTTACCAAATTGTACTATTTCGCGACAGCGTGATAGAATTGGTAATTATTTCATATCTTGAACACAAAAAAACGGTACCCTTTTCGAATAGTTTCTACGGTCTGAAAAGTCGAGTAAGCGTTTCAACATTGTAAATAATATGATCATTGCAACCAATATATGCTCGGCCTTGCACGAATTTCATAACGTGGAAAGATACGTCCGGCGGTTTATAACAAAACAACCAATTTAGTGTTTTGGCGATAAAGATAGCCAAATTGTTGTAAAGAAATAGAGTTTGTTTGCCATTTTCATTTTTCGCAAGTGCCGACAATAACACCATTGAATGATTTTAGCAATGAGGGAAACACATCAAATTGTAAAAAAAAAGAATAAGATTGTGCAAGAGTAAGAATACCTGTGATAATAATAGGGACGTAACGCGAAAAGGGGAAGGGCGAGCAAAACCGAAGCGCGTGGTCGGCGTTGCGTTTGAAGACCCCGTAATGCCCGTGCGGCCGCGCATCTTTTAAGATATATAATATGGGGTATTCTGAAGGCGCTCTGGTGTACATTATTGTAAGAAAACAGTTAATTTCGACTATCGCTCGTGATGATTTTGTAAAACAAAAACAACATAAGTTTAATTATAGACGAAATCATTGACGCGACCGCCCCTCGCCTGCGTTGAGATTGTGTCCTACTCATAGAGTTAATAAGAGTGTCTTCCTCACGTTCGTCCACAAATTGCAGCGGTAGAAGTACCAGGCTACTGACATTCACCATTAATATTCTATACCTGTTACTAAATACAAGGTATGTTACATGAATAAAGTTTACTTATCCTGATCTGCTTTGTTTATTATTATTTCATTGCAAAATGTCTCTATGCGTTGAAAATGTTCATGTTTAGTTATAGGTGTGCCGCGATATAACAAAGGTGGGAACCACTGTTGTATACCAGGACTTCACGTTAGTAACAAAAATATTGATTACCTGAGTACAACACCCCCAGAGAAAGTCTTACAAAGGCTATTACTATACTAAGTAAACGGCGCATCGCGGGTAGTCATTCGCAACATTGCATGACTGCTCCGTACAATTTGAAAACGTAGAGAGATTGATAAGAGTTGAAAAGTGGTTACAGAAAGACTGGGCGACACATATCAAATCAAGCCATTGACTGACTGAGAGAGCGATTTCGGAAAAGGCGAATCAGCGGGGATTGTGACGTCGAGTGGTTAGTTGTTACATCATTCAAACAATTGGTTAAATCAAAAATTGCAATTGCAGAAAAATCAGAAACATTCCCATATAATTTAGTGGTTCCCAAACTTTTTTCCTCGCGACCCCAATTTTCATAAAATCAAAGCCTGCAAGCCGACTGCAAGTAGATGTTGACGGTGAACATTGGCCCAAAAAATATTCGAACAAGTCCGGGAATGCGCCGGAAAAACGGGAAAACCTCAGAAGATTTAAAGACACATGGATGGCATCGTAAACCACGGTGTTAAAATCTCTTAGATCTGAATTATAACGGTTCTTTGGCGAAACATAGACGGACTTAAACATAGACGGATAAAATGTGGTAGATTGTAAGGAAGCGTAGGATACTTCGGAAATAGTAAGTTGCTTCTGAATATACATAAATTTAAAATCTTATTCAGTACATTCCAACAGTGTCTTTATTTTTATTTCAATGTTAACATATTACAGATTGCTCCCTTATTATTTCAAAAGTGAAACAGAGAATAAAAGTAAATTAAAAAAGGAAAATATTATTGGCGCTCGTAACACTGTTACTCAATTACATGTACTAATACCTGTACCTGCCGACCAGCTGGAAAGGGGAAGTACCACATGAAAGTTTTAACAAGCAATTTCGGCGCTGTTTGGACAATAAATGGCCGAGTTATTGCTGAAAAATGCGAAGCTAGGCACTTTTACGGAACTTGCCGACCGGAACAAATTTAACTTTCCAACTTTCAAATCTTAATCACTCGTGTGCGCATGTTTGACAGAAATTAGGCAACCCCGGAAAATCTTGACGCGACCCCATCCGGGGTCGCGATCCACAGTTTATGAACTACTGCCATAGAGCAGGGGTCCGCAACTACTTTTTAGCGCGACCCCAAAAAATTTTTTTATAACTTCTCGCGACCCAAGCATTTGGTAAACCTGTAATTAGTTATCGATTTTAAGACTATTGTCGGCACTAGCATTTTTCTTGCACAAAATTATATGAAAATTATTCACATAAAATTGTAAATAATAGCGTTTATTATGACTAATGCAAATTAAGAGCTTTGTGTATGATACACAACATATCAGAACGAGGTCTAATTTGGGAGACGGCAACTCGAAGATATTTTTCTACCTCTAGCCTTGATCTGTAATTGTATTTTATGTATATTCGCTGTTATTCCGCTTATATGTATGGTTTAAGTGATGTATTTCTATCCGATGAGGATGAGAAGATGAGTCTTTTGTCGGGCGTTGATCCCCACTGCTATAAGTGCTCCGTACGGAGCCTCAGGGCTCCGCGAGCTATTCGTTCACTTAAAAAACTGACTTGATTAACTTTGTATCTGTGAAGAAGCATTCGCGTCACTAATAAAATTTGACGACGGTGGTGTCGAAATGTGGTAGTGATTCAAATATAACATTATCTATAACTAAGGGCGCAGCAGCCATGGTTTTTCTAAATAGGAGGGGGTTCAGAATAGAAAATTCCCGAGCAACACTCATCGCTCAATCCATGGCCGACCCGTGAATTAAAATGTCTTGTCATATCAATTCAATTGTGTTCATCGTTGCTCGCCTTTGAGTTGACTAATATACTACGGCAACCATGAAATACTTGTTAAACCGTCTACTAGCAATGAATGGATTGAAATCGTATTCTTGAGTTGCTCTTTCAGCACTTAGGATTATCGCAATGTTTCGTTGTTAAGGGAGAGTTTGCAGTTATGAAGCTAATTATATTTGATACCTTCATATCAAATTCGGTCTATGCATAAATGTATCAGTGATTTCTAGATGCAGTGATGGGACAAATATCGGCTGACTCAGTAAAAATGATCAAACTTTCATTGGAGGGTTTAGATAAGGGGTCGGCAAACTACGGCCCGCGACGCTTCACTGAATTATATTGACAAAACAGTTTTATTGACGAATATATTCTTTACGTGACAAAATTTGTTTTGAGAAACTAAATTATACTATAAACCTAACAAGTATATAATTCACAATCACTCGTTTAATGAGCCTATAATTGATTATAATTAGAGAAATGGCAACAGAACGTAAAAAGTTGATGCTGAGCGCAAATGGTTTAATGACGCTGAAAATATTCCAATGATCAGTCTTCGCGCACTGCTTGAAATTTCTGGGTGAAAAATGTGATTCATTGGCCATTCCTTTGGTTTTTAACTTTCTAAAATACGTGCGGCCCGTCAATAACTTGCAACCTTTAATTTTGGCCCGCGAACGACAAAAGTTTGCCGACCTCTGGTTTCAAACTTTAGAGCCAGTGAATCATCCCAACTCATTTGAGGAAGGCTCATTTGAGTTGGGATGATTCACTGGCTCTAAAGTTTAAAACCAGAGGTCGGCAAACTTTTGTAGTTCGCGGGCCAAAATTAAAGTCCCCGACCCCCACTGCCATATCTCCCTCCACTTTCCTATTCTCGATCCGCTGCCCTATCTCCCTCAACTTTTCTATTCCCGATCCACTGCACTATCTGCCTCAAACTTCCCACCCTCGACCCACTGCCCGGCCTTCCTCAACTTACTTATCTTAGACCCACGACGCTATACCACACAGTAACCTAACCTAACGGCGCTACAATCACTTCGCTATACCGCTCAGCAACCTAACCTAACGGCGCTTCACGGTTGTGCGTGTCATCCTCGCGCAAGGGGCCATGCTAATCTTCTCGGTATCGTTCCAATTTTTTCATATGTACACTGGAAAGTAGTATGCCAATGAGAGGCTTCAATCGTACGTCGACAAAACATGATTGACGGCATTCGTAAATGTAGGCTGGAATCTCAATTGGTAATCAAAGACCATAATTAGTGGTTTAAAATGTGCTACTAATTAGGCTACTGATGGCATCGGGTTTGGAGTCACAAAAATATAAGTCGCTCAGTGAGTGTAATCCCTTCCAAACTATTTTTAAGCCATGAAATATTTTGTCGTAGCTAGCGTTGCCAACTGCCCTTTAATTCAGCGTATAGTCCCAAATTGAGCTTATCTTATCTGCAACTTAATGAAGTTGCAAAGACGCAGTTCGTACGTAATCTTTGGCATCGCTTTTACTATAAAATGTTGAAAAAAAATACTTTATACGCACCAGAGCACTATTGCTTATTTCGGATCAGCATCATATTGTCACAAGACTCACGCCATGGCCAATTATTAAGGGGCATAAAACGGCTTGTTGAATTTTAGATAAACTATCAGTAGCCCAATTAGTAACACATTTTTAAACTGCCAATTATGGTTATTGTTTACCATTTGAGATTCCAGCCTACATATACGAATGTCGTCAATCATGTTTTGTCGACGTACGATTGAATCATGCCATTGGCATACACGACCAGTATAACGCATGGAAGTTGGTCGCAAGATAGTAAAGTTCAGTGTGGCGATCGGGTCGTGAATAAAGCGCCGTTAGGTCAGGTACTGAATAGTATAGCACCGTAGGTCAAAGACAGGTAAGTTGTGGCAGATAAGGCAGTGGCTCGAGGATACGTAGGTTGATGGAGATGGGGCAGTAGGTTGAGGGAGATAGAGCGGTGGTTCGAGGATAGGGAGATAGCGTAGTGGGTCGAGGATAGAAAGGTTGAGGGAGATAGGGCGGTGGGCCGAGTATAGGAAAGTTGAGGGAGGTCGCGCAGTGGGTCGAGGATAGGTAAGTAGATGGAGGGCAGTGGGTCGAGAACAGTTTTCAAGTAAACGAATAGCTCGCGGAGGCCCTAGGTGTCTTTAACGGAGTCCTGAGGCTCCGTACGGAGCACTGTCTACGTAGTAGGATATAACAATGCGAACAACAAAGTAACGAATGTTTCCCCGACTTTTGATCTCTTGAATTCTTCCTCTTTACACTCTACCATTGCAAATTATTGGTACTTATTTCCAGAATGGTTTTGCGAGTTTAGGACTTATATTTACCAAAACACAACTAAAATCTAACAAATAACACGTGAAAACCGACAAAACGAGGTAATATTCACAACCATGAAAATCTGTCTGAATGACTAAATCAGTGGTTGGCAACCACCGGCCCCGCGGCCCATCGCCGGTCCGCGAAAAGGTTACTACCGGTCCGCAGAAACGTGACGCAAAAGACGGACAATGTCCTAATAACATCTTTGGTTGATTGAAATTTCAAACAATAATAAGTTGAAAAGAGTCTTTGCGATTTATAGGATAGCTACTTTAGCAATCTTTTGGGCAATACTGCTATCTGAATACCCCGGCATTTTTAAATCTAAACTCGGGGGAAAATCCATAATTATAATTAGAGTTTTATATAGTTGTTATAACTAAATTCGGTACACAGACGCGATGCTTATATTTATGGTAAATTTAAATTGTTTTGCGACCCAGCGTGGAGAGCTCCTTGGGTCGCGACCCGTATTTGCGGACCCCTGGTGTGTCCAATGTTTTGCTAGCCAGATTTTCCCTATTTAAAATGCAATGCGTAAAATTGATATGAGGTGCAATTTGTAATAATCTTGCTAAAAACCTTTGTTTTCCCGCCATGGCCCCAGCCCTATCAGTACAAATGCTAATACACCGCTCCCATGATAATCCATCATTCTGTAGTCTCGTCGCCACTGCTGAGAATATGTCTTGACCAGTGCATGTTCCAGAAAGCGCCAAGCACATGAGTAACTTATATACCTAACGAACACAATCAACTGCGCTAAACCAGACGTATCCGTGGATTCATCCAATTGCAAAGCGTATTTTCCTCCTTTGACTCTATCAACCAGTTGGCACCTAATATTTTGACCCATTTCGCTGATACGTCGGCGAATGGAATCTACAGACATTGGTATTTCTTTCATTTCCTTAGTTACCTTGTCTCCATACATACTTTGACTAATTACAATAGTTTTGATTAGTGTTTCTCCAATGGTGTGTGGTTTCTTATCTTTTGCGATTAAATATGCCACTTCATACAATGCCTTTTGAGATTTTTCTAAGATTGTGAGATAGTTTTTCATTGTTTTTTTTTCGCCTAACAATTCTTTTTCTGATCGGCGGAAAAATGTATTGGTTTGTCAATGAATTCTGGATGCTTTGCTGTAAGATGGCGTTTCAATCCCACTGCGTTCAGGCTCTCGTTGGCAAGAACACCGGAACAAACAACACATTGAGGACGTGACATCATTCATAAGAATACACGTGAAACCAAGCTTTATAAATTCTTTGATGTACTTCCGCTTATAAGGATGGTTTGAGTGATGTATTTCTATCCGATAAGGGTGAGGAGATGAGTCTTTTGTCGGGCGTTGATCCCCACTGCTTGAAGACGCAAAGATGTCTGAAGGTGCATGCGGTGTTCTGTTCTCACTTAATTTCCACGTTGTATCTTCCGCTCGGGACTTTTTTGGAGTATTCTTCAGTAACCAGTTTGTCAACATTATTTGTGACTACCTTTAAAATTCTTAACCCCGCTAAATTTTGAATTTAACCAAGAATATCTTACAATAACAAATGTAACAGCACCCTAACTATTTAATTTAGAATGGACAAATCTAATCATCTGTCTTTATCAAGCAATTCTACACGACTACTGCTAACCTCGCATTGCTACGAAACAATACAATGGTCTACCTACGTAGTAGGATAATACCAGTTAACAATGCAAACATCTACGTAATGAATGTTTCCCCGATTTTCGATCCCGGCAAAATTCTTCCGCTTCATTTCTACCATTGCAAAATTATTGGTTCTTATTTCAATAATGGTTTTGCGAGTTCGCGCCTATAAACCGGTTTATATGTTTCAAACTATCATTTTATTTCAATACATTCGACAACCTTTAATTTACATGTGCCTATAGAAAAGTTTGGCCTAGTCTATCACAGCTATTTCTAGATTAATTTTTGATTACTGCATACAAAATAAAACTCCGCAGAGCAAAATGATTATTGAGTTATTTGATTAGGACTTACTTACCAAAACACAACTAAAAACTAACAAACAACACGCGAAAACCACCAAAACGAGATAATATTCACAACCACGAAAGACTGTCTGAATGGCAAAAGTATCTGAGCGCTTCTGAAACGTTTATTGTTACTTCAATTTTGCACTTATGCTGATTGGCCAATGTTACGGCAGTAAATAAGAAAGTGTATACTCGGGGAAACATTCATAATTATAATCAGAGATTAAAAATAGTGTAAAACGATAATTTCACGATTCCGAGTGAATATACATCATCATACCGTGTTTTCCCGAAAATAGGACATTGTCTTCAATTTTCTCTCGAATACTGGAACTCATTTTTGGGGATGTAGAGAATAACGAGATTTTTTTAATATAGAAAATATGGATACCGAAATATATAAATAATATGATTAAATATGATACCAATTTAATAGCACGTTTTCATTTAAAATAGCTGCTACATATAGAATATTAACCATTTAACGGTTACGATTTATTTTAACCGTTAACTGACATCTCAGGTACAAATCTTCTTTATACCGTATAATTTCGTCAAATATGATTACGTCATCGCAAATTTATCTCTTGCGGCGTTTAATTTAAAAAAATATTACTAACTGTGTTGGTAAGGACTCAATAAATGTGAAAAAATATTGAAAGTACCAAGGTTGCTGATAATGAAAATTTACGATGATAAATTCAGGATCAGTTTTCGGTCGATTTCGAAATATATTGTTCACGATTTCATTGCAAAATCGGATATTCAATGTCATACAACAAGTGTGCAGTTGATGCCGTTTTTCTTTATGATATATATCTCGAAGAATAATTTGCACATCGAACTCTAAAAATTTGTCACATTAATGACGTTTAACAACGGAATCGGGTTTTCTAAAATATTTCCACATGCCCGAACTACGCTGCCTATCTTTTGCAGCAGAGGAATCATGAAACTATCTCGATTCGTGAATAATTTTTAGCGATACCGGGATAAGAACACGCGAATTTGCTTTATAACCATTGCGACGTAACAAGCTGAAAGTATAATTATTACGTCAAACGTCACGCGGCGGTTAACCGGTTAATTTTACTCGGTTAACGGTTAAAGTGTTTTCCCTGAAATCCCAGCCCTATTTGTGAGGTTTCCCTATTACAACCAAACATTCCAATCACTGGCATATAGGCGCAAGAGTTCAATAACACTATGAATTCCCACTACCAATTGCTGTAGCCATCAAGAAAGTTTTAGGTCTGGATATATTAACAAAATTTCTAGATGTGTGTTCCAAGCGCCATAACTTTATCGGCTTGCCGACCTTGATTCAATATGAAAGACATGCGCAATATATTTTATTTATAACGTAAATATGTCGGCTTACCATACGTCCCGTTTTAGGCGGGACAGTCCCACTTTTTACCGTCTTCTCCCGACGTCCCGACCGGTCAGCCAAAAGTCCCGATTTGGCGTTCAGCCAGTCAGCATAATACAAGGACAATACCAATTGTCATGTTCTCGATACTGTTGTTGCGGTGTAGCGTACCTGTAGCTTACCTACTGAAGGTGGATGCGTGGTTTTGTTTGTTTTGTTGCTACAATTTGTTACGTGTAAGCCCCGTACTGAACCCGATATTTAGACAAACAGCGTAAACTCACGATGACAATATGGTCAAGGAAGACAGACGGAATGGTTTTAAATGCAGGCCCCTAATGTAAAATCGATAAATTCAAAGTAGAAAAAATCACAGCTGTGGTCTTTAGAGGCGTCTCGCTTTGGGATCACAAAATTAGGGTAACCCTATAAATATGCTATATACGAAGTTAAAAATAGGGTGATGGTGATATACTGAGAATTTAGCAAAGGCTTCTAATGGGAAAAAAATCTCACTTTGTGTACATTATTTCATGTAATAAAAATGTCGTCCCACAAGAGAAGGATTGCTGATGTACCATAAAATCCTATTTGATTTCAGGAAGGTATTTTCTAGAAAGCCCGGACAATCTTGAAACGCTTCTGTTACCAATTCACAATGCAAATTTGTATTGTATTAGCAAATGGATTTATGTAAATAGTATTTCAGACCAAATCTGATTTTGAGAGGCCGAACGCCTACGTCCGGAAATCATGTACCACCATTGATTAACAAAAATCACGTGTTATTATAAACTTTAATTTGGAATAGAATATTCGTTAATAATATAAATATACAAGCAACTGAATCGTCATAAATTGCTTTGATACTATTTTCTGAAAATTATAGAAGCTATAATTTAAATCTAACTATAGGTGTTGTAGCTATAAAGTTTCTGTTATATTCTTTCAATCATTCAATCACGTAATCGGGCATCACTTCGTTCCAGAATTCTGCTTCTTTTTCTGCCAAATTTTCTCCGATTGAATATGGGATATTAACAATGAGATATTTTCCTTTGGTTTTGTATTGGGGCCAATTGATATCCACTTTCTGCCCCTTATTGGGATTTCTGGAAAAAAGTTAAAAGCGGGTAATGAAATGTTTGCTATATGTGAAATATACCATAGAATTTTTACGATCATATATCAAGTGCTTAGGTCTCATGCGAGACAAAATTAGTGAGTCCAGATTCCTTTTTTTAGCATATCTTCTATATCCCTTTTTCTAGCGTATTTTCTATCAATGACATACATGCTTTTAGATGCGAATCTGGTATTTCGAGGAGTAATCCCCACATAAAACCTTAAGGACTGAAATGACTAGCACCAATTAAATAGCCTTTCATGGATACTCAAAATCCCAAGATAGCTTACCATACTAGCAGCTGGCCGTCCATTAGCTTGTTGAGCAGTAGCTCATTTATAATCAGTTTGTTAAGTTCTATTAAAGGTTACCCAGAGTGAAAGTAACTATCTTACCCTGTTTTTGCAAAATTTGTCAAATACTTCATGAAATCGATACTCATTTGCTTTTCCTCTTCGGTATATTTCGTACCCAAAGGAAGTTCGTTCGGTGAAAATGGAACTCCAAACGTCAGGATAACATCCTCGCCATGGTCGCAAATGCACCAACTCGGCTTTAATCCAACTTCTGGTCCATATTCTCTGTCGTGGAATAGTTTAAGCTGAAAGTTTCCATGATAAACGTATGTTGGTGCGCCAGTATCTGAAAGTTTTTATTAAATATTACTCTATAATAGCATAAACAGTGGTGAGATTCTAATTAAGAACTGGGTTCTCCTTTGTATCGAACTCACTAACAACAGGTTCCCTAATTTCAGTACACCTTATAACGTCACTGCATAAGCTACATTAAGATGACGCGCTTCACATAAATTTAATACACCATATATAACGCCAGTCATAAGCTGCGATGCACGTTACCCAGCATTTGCTGCGGTAGTCTAACTAAGAACGGGCACGCTGATTATCATGACATTCCAAGAACAGGATCGTTGCCACCATAGCATTTAACTAGGTTCCAGAAACACACAACGATACCCGAATGAGATGAAGCAACCTTGACAGCGGGAGCAACAAACATTGAATCGCCCATTATGCTTCCCTGTAGTTTACTGAACCGCAGTTCGTCTTGATCGTCCACCGAGTAGAATTCTTTGCACTTTTCGAAACCTTCCTTTGTTACCTGCGTAAAATTAATGAACAATAGGGTATAAATTTAAATAATTCGAAAATGAGGTTAACAGCAAGTTAACTATATTACCGCAAACCAATTCCGAAATAAGGTGAATATATTACATTATCGGTACTCACAGGAGTGAATAATGATTTATAAACCTCTTCCACGTCTTTTATACCGGTCATAAAATTAGGGGATGAGCTTGATAATATTCCTTGTCCTTCTGTGCTGTTGCATCCAAGAATATACGGCACTTTAACAAATTCTTTGTCGTTTACATATTCTCCTGGAGTTTTACAAAACACCTTACCATCAAGAGTAGGGAGAAAAGAAATCCTTTGCTGAAATGTAATTATTCAATATTTAATTTGAGAGATAAATATCTTGAAGATAAACTTCTGGTTCATCGCTGATATAAAAAATATATTACCATTGACAATTGCATACACGAATTGACTAAATCATCGGCTGGAATCTTTTGTAATGCTTCCAGAATTTTACAATCTTCTTTTTCTTCAATCTTCAAATGCTTAAAACATTTTTCATTCTTCTCAGAATTCTTCTCGACCGTTTGAAAAAATCCTGTGAAAAACATTTTTCTGACGAAATGAGTCTATTTTACAAATAATTTTATATGTATCTGCATGCTGTTCGATTCTGTCAAATACCAAATAGCCTACTTTATATATATATAAACAATTTCTTACAAAACCAGGCCTACAAAAGACTGTCATACATAATTATAAAGGCCCACAATACTAGTTACTAGATGTGGCATTCAATACCTATAAGCTGTGTGAAAAGTTTTTTGGGGGAAATAACAAGTTTATTCTCTTCATATTTTATGATGAGTTTAAAGGTCAAATATTTGGTTGATATTGAGGTTACTACATGTTGAGAATTTATCAATCTGAAACTTTGATTTTTGTTTGCCATCAACATTCCTCGTTCTATAGTGACAAATACCTTTTAAAGTTGCTTGTCCACTATGACTAATTGCTTTGTGGAACAGACCGCGTGATAATGGAGACAACATATGCATGTTGACAGACATTCCTCCAGCACTTTCACCAAAGATAGTCACGTTGTCTTTGTCACCGCCAAATGCATCGATGTTTTCTTGGACCCATCTGAACAAATTGTAACTTATATTAAATTGTTCAAAAAGACCGCCAAGATTGTTCAAAAACCGCCACACTAAATACACAATATAAAGCCAATAACCTTTTTGAGAAGTACTACCATGACTGAATATTAAAAACATAGGGAATATTTAAATGTCCCCCATAGTACCTGTGTACAGGAACTATGACTAGACAGTGCATTGACGCTCTCATATTCTTAGATATAGTTTATCTAAGGTAAATTACGTTTATGCTACGAACCTCAATGCCAACTGCTGATCTAAAAATCCAGCATTCCCCGGGCATATTGAAGAAGGTCCAAGGGAGAGAAATCCAAATATTCCAAGTCTATAGTTAGGCACAACTATGACAACATCGTTCATTCCAGCCAACATACTTCCATCATACAAGCGTTCAGAACCCATGCTGAATCCACCGCCAAACCACCACACCATCACCTGAAAATCAAATATAAATGTTTACGACTCTACAGTAGGGAAATAATTAACAATGTACAATTAATATATTCGAGATAGTCTGAAAAAGCTAAAATTCGTGTAATTTACCGGAAGGTTTTTTCCTTTTTCCAGATGCGGAGTATACACAGACAAATGTAAGCAATCTTCGTCAGCAACTGGTTTGCTCTTGCAAGCGTCAGGTATGGCAATGTATGGTTTCATCATTTCATCAATGACTAGTGGATACATTGGTGTGTTGCCTGCTACTGTTCCATCTTTAACCGCAGTCCATGGTTCAGCTCTGAAATACCAATAAGTGATTTTGAATCACAAAGAGGCAGCATAGGACGCTAGTAGATACAGCATTGTCTAACTCTACAAATTTCAATTTTCAAGTGGAATTTGCTAGGATTTGAATTTACATATTTTTTTCATTTGATTTACATATTTTTTTCATTTTCTATATAGAACCGGTGCGAACCAGCTGAATCCCACTTACTGATGGGTATATTCACTTGGCTGACACAAACAGTCCCCGAACTCGTAAGAGAACTGAAGTAAGGAAAATCGGAATAAAATTATGGCATGACCCTAACCTGGTACGCATACGGGAGTACCCAATAATTTAATGAGCAGTAGTTAGAAAGTAATAGCACAAGTCGACAATTTGACGAACGAAAGGAACCGATGTCTCGATTGAATCTGACATTTCATTCAAACATTACTCGAGTTCCAAACTAAATTACGTTCACACTTCACGTTACAAAGGTAAGCTTCGCCATTTTGAAATCTAATCGTCTCAAATTCGGAATTATCGATTCGAAACAAGTTTTATCGGCTTCAACGAATGAATCTTTATATAAAGTATTGTGTTTAACAAATAGTTTTCTCCAAATGATTGCAAGAATATAGTGTGTTCCTGTTTTGATATAAGCTACGGAGGGCTTCATCAGATAATAAACCTGCTTTATGGTAATCTGTTTGATATTTTTTTTTTTCGGCTGACACGCCGTAGTCGAAATATCAAGATTTCTTATCTTAAGTTAAATATTCTGTTGCTATTCTTCTTCAGATAGTATGAAGAGCCGATCCATACCCACATCATCTTACTATCATAAGTTAGACAACATTTCTAAAATTTTATCTAGTCTACAAACCGCTATCAACAGTTTAAATATTTTAACAGTAATCAATCACAATGCCGAGTGTTGGGGATGCGCTGTAAATGAATGGCATGGCATGTAATATTAACATGATGGCTCATTCAGTCTTTTTAGTGTGGATAGCCTGTCGTTTTTGGCTTTGTGTCGACCATGATTTGATAGACTTGGTAAGGCTCATAGTAAAATTATTTTCGACTTGTTAAAATCATTAACAGTTACCATAAATTTTGCTATCTTTCAAGTCTTGAAAAGTTTCAAATGCAATATTTCTTGCATATATATTATTATTATATACCTGCTATTATAAATGTAATAACACTACTTACGACTGGGGTGGCATAAATCTCAGGCTTCCTACAGGTGGTTTGCCGAAAGGAATATTCCGAAATGCATGCACCGGCTTTGCATCCTTCACTTTCAAATTCACAATTCTACCTTTTATTTTTCCATTAGAGGTTGAAACGATGGTAGAACTCATGTCGATTTCAGATATCGGATATAAAGTGTCTATTCTATGCTGATCTTTGAATAGTAGACTGTTCAATTACTGAACCGGTTATTTGTAATTCCATCGCGGTTAAAAAGCAAACGAAGTGAAGTGTAGGAATGTAAATAGTCGTCATATATTTTAATAAAATCATAAAATAACCAAGGATTTAAGCAATTAATTTTTGCAGTTTTTTTCTGTTATATGACTCATACTAGGGTTTGTATGAATATACTAAAATTTAGAGGTAAACGTAGAGGTAAATGAGGTAGGAGGTAAATGTTTGTAACACCAAAATCAAACAAATTGCTGATTTTTTTCATAGTTTGCCTTATTTGAGATCTGTATTCACAATGTGACCGAAGACTTAGATAAACAAATTTGATTTAAAAGCAAATACTTTACGCTGAATAGCAATTCTAGAATAGCTGTGAGCAACAAAGCAAATTTTGAATTTCGTAATCGTAATTCAAGGTAATTCTCTCGTAACCGAATGTAATTTTCACCTAACCAAAGATAAACAAGATCAAAATAAATTCATGTATTTTTTATTTGGTATGTTTATTTTTTAGTATAGATACCAATATTTATCTGGTAATTTGAGACTGCATGACTGTCTTTTATTCTATAAACATTATCTCTGCTATCATATAATTAACATCTAATTGGTTACCACGAATGAGTCTGTGCTCTTTCCAACAAGCACTCGGAACAAATCGCGCAAAATTTAATTAATCTTAAACCCAGTGCAATGGCGAACATGAAGTATGAAGGTATGCCGCTTTATTGATAACAAATTTTGGTTATAGATCTTATAACATTGTCGTTCGCTTCGCACAAGCTAGCTGTTTGGGCATTGTAACGTCGTCGGATTAGAATTACTCGCACGTACCAGATTGAACTGAATTAAAAACTCATTTTGTGGTCTACACACCATTCAAAATCGGCACTCCTCCGCGGGCCGCACAATTTTTCCTTGTGGACCGCAGATTGCACACCTCTGATGTTAGTTATTAGCGCCAGAATATCTAGTCCACGACGTATACTATAAACAAGTTCGTCAGAACTCGGAAGTCAAAATATTGGACCTCCTTCAATGTTAAAAATGTCAAACAGCTTTCGAAACGGATTGAGCTCAGAACCAGAAGCAAAGAGCCCTCGAATGTAAATTAAAATTTGGTTTAAAAACTCACTTCGTCCGACGATCCGGTATCTCATACATACTCTTGCCAAGGTAACTCACCGTCCGCGACCATCGTGCCTTCCGACCGAACCAATGCAAGGACAAGACATTTGGATGGTTTGAATTGCATTCCGGACCATCGCGTGAACTCTTCAAACATTGAAAGTTGCGCCTCCAACTGTTGCCGCGACGACGCACACGGAGCAGAATCGTCTGCGTAGCCCTGGCCGTTGACGGTCACATCCGGCGCACATCGTAACTGGTAACTGACGTCCGGCAAACATTTGACGCCCCGGATAAGAACTTCCATCACCATGTTAAAAATGATTGCCGAGAGAAGGCATCCTTGACGAACTCCTCTACCAGATAAAATTGGGGACGTATTACTAGCGATAGTTCGAATGTTAAAAATGACCGATACCCACGTTCGCCATTCAATTGGTTTGATTTGGTCCGTTTCTAGGCTGGACGTGAATAACGGTTTGGGGGCTGGCGTCCGCCACTCTGGAAACAGAGACCCGGGTAGACCAACTGCCCCTCAAGATGGACGAACGCCTCGTCTGGTGAAGACATTGAGACAGATTTATCCAGCAAGCGGGACAGTTTTTGACGCAGCTCCTCCAGGTTTAGAACACCCAATAGAATCGCACCCTCCTGGGGAGATAAACTCTGGCAATCATCCGGCCCAGAAATTGAGCTCTGATGCATCATGGTTAGCGTGGGGGTAGGAGTGGCCGCATTAATAATTTTTGCAACCACAGGATGGCCCGGAATATGGGTAACTAGCAAATGGAACAAACGATCCGTGGACAAGATGGTCAATAGACTAGTTCTAGTGAAAAATATAATCTTTACTCACTGAAAATTTCAAAGCGAATGGTCCAGTAATCAATGAGAAATACGATTTTTTCATAACGATACCGAGAAGAATACAAACAAGAACAAGAACAACAAAAAATGCAAAACGATCGTTATGTCCACTAACGTGTCCAATAAACAAACAGGGACATAACAGATCTAAACTAACTACACTGCCTTAATTTAACTAATAATAAAAACCATTACCAAACGAACAGTAAATCAGCCGAGCGCTAATAGTGCGCACAAAGGAATACATGCACAGAGCTTAAAGTGAGCTTTCCTTGATGGAAACCGATCGTGGAAATTACCATAGCATCAGGCTCGTTAGCACACTCCGTTCGTAAGCTCGCACAATTCAATGTTTACAAAAGTATTGTGAGCTGCTAGTCATCTGCATGGCGCCGTTTATATTTGCTATGTCGTTCCAATTTCTCGTAGGTGTCGCCATTATTACAGATAACATTTCGTTAGGTATATAACCTGTTTTGTTTGCCTATTGGAACGATCGTTATCGCGGAGGTCTCTGGCCGAGTTATGCCTCGACCAAGCTCGATTCCATGTCTTTGGATACTGTCAATACTGCTTTATTAACGGTCATAAAACAAACGAGTCAATAGCTCTTGTAAAAGAAGAGATAATATTCCTGAAGTTGCAATATCTTCCCGCCACTCGTTCCTTTTCTGATTTCCGGCGCTACCGAGAGTACCTTTTACAACTCGCGGCAACAGAATGTCGGTTCCAAATGTCAAACTAAATACTGGATATGGTATGCCTATATTAGGATTCGGAACATGGCAGGTATTTTGTAGTTGCTTCCCTACAACAATGTTCGATTTGACTATTTTAATTTAGAAATTCATTATCATAACTTAAGCTGGTCTGATAAATAACAATCGTCTGTGAATAAGGTGCGGTTCGTCTAAAATTTTCATTGGTTTATATTGCTTGATGTGCTTGCTGATATGTTATCGGTGCTTATCGAGTTTTCGAAACTGTTGTTATGATATTGTGCGTATGATGCGCAGTGATGCTAGGTTGGTAGCTTACTGCCTGCCTATACCTCGCGGTGCAGCTGTAACATTTACGAATATGGTTATTGCAAATACAGTAGTGGGTGGGTTTCAGGCGGCCGCATTAACACGTTCTTGGATAATTACCAATGAATTTTGGCCTTAGACGTTAGACGGCTGCAAAAAAATTAGTAACTTGCAAAAAGCATTGTATTTGGCTTTTCGAAAGTTATGTATTAGATTTACCTGTCCTGGAGCATGTAAAGTTAATGAAGTTTACACAGTGACATAATACATTTTCTTACAACGTAAAATTTATTTTATTTGAAGTCTGAAAAAGGTGTAGTGGGAGCTGCTGTAAAGTCCGCATTGAATGTTGGATACCGGCATATAGATTGCGCATGGGTTTACGGGAATGAAAAAGAAATTGGTGATGCGTTGGAAGAAACTTTTAAAGAAGGCAAAATTAAAAGAGAAGATTTGTTTTTTGACCAGCAAGGTAAGTTTTTAGAATTATATTTACTTACACAATGCAAATTATACATTTTTATATACAATGTTTCTATGTTCGGTGTTGTATAAAACGAAGCTCCGGAATGTGCAATTCGTCAGTATGTCATTCTTCAACATGGTGTCATGCTTAGTATCTTTCATTTTGATTACCCATTTTCACTCTTACTTATATAAACATATTCATTACGAAATATTTTTTGTTTAGTTATGGAATATATTTCACGACCCAGAAGACGTCGAGGAATTCGCTTCGCGGAAACATTGAAATTTTTTGCAAACTGACTATTTAGATCTGTATTTGATCGCATTGGCCATTCTCTTTCTTTGTAAGTATGAATCACAGAATCGCTGCATCATAAACAAGAGTGAGAGCGCTGAAAATCGTGCGTTACAAAACCTTCTTTAATAATATTTACATTTGCCAGTACGTTTTGTATAATATACCTGTAAGAGCATACGATGACAAATATGGATATAACGCAAAGTGATAAGCACCGAGGTCAATTTGATGTTGCATACACAGTGCATTATATAAAGAAAATTAATGCGATCTGCTTATACATTTGTATCTAGAAATATTTTGCAACAACGGATGTTTTTAATTACTTGTGCAAAAAGTATTTAACCCTGCTTATACTGCCCAATATGTACTCAAATGTTATAATATTAACTGTATATACTCACGTCGCCACGTTGATTATTCATGTACATTTCTTCTTGGGAGATGTAAATTTTGATGCATGTACATGACAAGTTACCAACACTCTAACGCTTCAATGTGCATAACATAATTTTCTTAATGGTCAAATTTCATTAAAAATATTTTAGAAAAACGATAACAGAGATATATTACCGAAGGATGGCGACGACAAAGTTATGAACACTTATATTCATTATCTGGACACCTGGAAGGTATTGGCTTACATTGAATGTTAAGATATATTAGTCATATCGTATACCATATACTATTCAATATATATAAGATATATGGTTGTCTTCTACAGATACTGTGCAGCGACAAAATGCCCTTTTTCTACAAATGTTTTACTTCTGCTACAGGCCATGGAAAATTGTCAGAAAAAAGGTTTGGTTCGCAGCATAGGTGTGTCCAACTTCAATGAGTATCAAATAAACAAAATCATCAAAGGGGGATCAATTGTACCAGCAGTTCATCAAATTGAATGTCATCCATATTTGAATGAGGAAACGCACATTAAGTACTGCAAAGATAATGGAATTGCAGTTACAGCTTATGCACCACTAGGATCTCCAAAAAGGCCATGGTAGATATACATCAGTAACATGCTACTCTTTTTCGAATTTTCATTTTTTTGGCAATCTGTGTGATCAAATGTTTAAAATTATAATAAATAAATGATTTGTTGAAATTTGTATTAATTATATGATTTTTTAAGCCCATTTTCCTCACTTCTACAAAATCACACTACATCTAAACATATCGACATTTAACAGATCCTTATATTTGACACGTAGGGGAACAGCTGAAGAGCCCGTTGTTCTTAATGATCCTGTGTTAAAAAGATAGCAGACAAATATGGAAAACTCCCCGCACATGTTGCTAATCAAATTTCAAAATGCAAAGAGGAGTGGATTGTTATTCCAAAAAGCGTTACTCCAGCAAGAATTTCAAGCAATTTTGAGGGTATAAAGTGATTATTTACATTTTCCCGTTGTTCTTTTCCGCAAATATATTATAGAAACTATTTTATACGTAGGTTTTCGATTTTGAATTGACCAACGATGACATGGATGGAATTTAGAGGAGTCAATAGAAATTGAGAGGATTGAGCTTTGACTGGTATTGTGGAAATTTCTTATTTTCATTTTTTTTTTCTAGCGTCGGTGTTGAATAAAAAAAAAGTATTGCTGTTTCATTGAATAAATCTATGATAGATTCTTTCACAACGAGCTTAATGAGAAATTTGTTAATCATGCCAATAACTCAGCTCCATGCGCTTGACGTTTCAGTATACGGAAGCTGGTACACGACACCTACATTTATATGTATCATACCGCAATGCGTATAAGCAATATAATATATTTTCAGGGCTGCTAAAAGTCACAAGTATTGGGCTTACCACCCAAATACTCTGAAGATTAAACTCAAAATGGAAAAGGAGAAGAACAAAAACTCAACAATAAATGTTGCCGAGTAGAATGGATGGATGAATGGATGGATGAATAAATTTGATTCTCATTTGTATAATTTTGATTGAAAAACAGACGAATTTTGTTTATTTCCCAAATTATTCATGCATCAATTCAATACCGTATCACGGCAAAAATGTTTTAGAAAATAACAATGGAACCGTGAGATAAATATTGTCTTACTCTTTGTTCAAGGGCTCGAGTAAACTTTATTTTGTACATACCATACTCCCTTATAGTCTTAAAGAAGTTATCTATCGTCTGAAATCAAAACTGCAGAGAGGAATATGGTGTCCAACGAAAGCATACTACAAAGAAGGAAAATGCACCAAATAAAAGGTAATAGCATATTTCAGGAATTCAAAACGTATTCGTGGGCTCTCACCTCTCAGTTCGCGTAATGTTGACTATAGCCCGGCATTCCCGAGGTACTATCGAGATGAAAGACGGTTTGGTGAAAGAGTATTTGTTTTTCGCGGTGGGTAAAGTTCTAAGAATGTCAATTTTCGACTGAGTTGGCAAGAATATAGTGACAAATTGTAATACCATTGAATTCTTCTTGAAGATCAGCGCGTTTTCGCTGCTGTCATGAAACAAAACATCAATCAGAACTTTCAGTGAAACGCATATTACTAGGGAGGCAGGATAACTCACGTGAGAAATTTTATCCTGATAGATCCATTCGTTTAGATTCTATGGCTAAACGACTAAGAATAGAAGGCTTCTGTAGAACGAGTTTCAAAATATATGGTACTTCGCTACCACGAAACAAATATAACTATGTTTGAGCGAAAAGAGGTCCTAACGCTCAGTGAGTCATTGCCCTGAAATACGTGGGTCGAAATTTCTAACGACCTTACCATAAAACAACTATGTTTCGCTTTTTCGCAAACTAGATCTAGATTTGGTTATATTAGGATTCATTCAAAGCAAGCCATATTTTATGTTTTTTAACCTAAGCGCTAGTAAAAAAAGGCCCTCCTATACATATTTCGATCGCGATCTTTCAGAAGACGTGTTATAATAATAATATATGTGCATATTTCTTTTCTCCAAATCATTAATAACTTTGTATTCAATTCTACGTCTGTACATTTTGAAGTATATATTTGTTCGTGGATTGCGTTTGCAAGCTGTATGCCATTAATAACATTGAATAGTAGTTAAATGTTGGCAAAGACAAACGAAGACAAATGAGATTTATTGGGAGTTTTATGACCCTATTATTCACAGCTATAAAAATATTCTCGAAACTTTTTCAATTTGAAAAAGCATAATCTCCTTCAAATTCATCTTATTTTTAATGCACCAACAAACTTATGTTAAAATATAATTTCCGATGTGGATTATGCTGACGAGACAACGTAGCATTATATTACTTGTAACATTATTCTTGTTCGTACTTCGATGATCGACGCTTCCATACTGTGGCGTGTGCAACTGCCCACTGATGTTCTCTCAAAGTTTCTCGTATTATATATGGCATTTCTTCAGAATCAATCAACTCAAAATCTGGGCAACAAATATGATTTTATAGTGTCAAAAGCTCTCACTTCTTTCCCATTAGAGTCTGTGAATCCACCGAGCCATTTATCCTGTGTAATAGTAATATACAATGTAACCTGACTCTAACTTTACGTTACAATGTAGTCAATGCAATACATGTATTATAATGCA